GGGCCGGCGGCCGTGGGGGCGGGGGCGTGCGTCCTCAGGTGCCGCTGCAGGTAGGCGGCCATGACAAAGCTGCGGCCGCAGACGGGGCAGGCGAACGGGCGCTCGGCCGAGTGCGTGCGCTGGTGCAGCAGCAGGTTGGACGAGTGCGTGAAGGTCTTGGGGCAGAGCGGGCAGCGGAAGGGCCGCTCGCCCGTGTGCACGCGCTGGTGCTGCCGCAGGTTGGTGCTCTGCGTGAAGCTCTTGCCGCACACGCCGCAGGCGTAGGGCCGCTCGCCCGTGTGCACGTGCCGGTGGCGCCGCAGGCTGGACGAGTTCTTGAAGGCCTTGGGGCAGTCGGGGCACGGGTACGGCCGCTCGCCCGTGTGCTGCCGCAGGTGGTACTGGTAATGCGAGGACCACTTGAAGGCCAGGCCGCACTGGCCGCACGTGAAGGCCCGCAGGCCCGTGTGCACGCTGCGGTGTATCTGCAGCAGCGACGAGCGCTTGAAGGCCTTGGGGCAGTCGGGGCACTGGTAGGGCCGCTCGCCCGTGTGGCCCCGCTGGTGGTAGAGCAGGGCGGACGAGCCCTTGAAGGCCTTGGGGCAGTCGGGGCATTTGTAGGGCCGCTCGCCCGTGTGCGTGCGCTGGTGGTGCAGGAGCCGGGATGACCAGCGGAACGACTTGCCGCACTCCCCACACTCATACTGGGCCGTCGGGGCGGGGGCTGCGGGGCCGGGCTTCTCCCCGGGCCCCTCGGTGGTAGAGGCCGGCGCCATGTCTGCGTGGGAGCCGACCATCACACCTGGCGGGGGATTCCGGGTCAGGGGAAGGCAGGAGCTCACCCCACCTCCACCCAACACCCCACCTTCTCAACCTGGACATACACCTTTGCCCTTGAAGATGCAGAGGGCACCTCCCCACCCACGGGATCGAGAGACTCCCTTAGGATCAGGGCCCCCAGTGGTCCAGGTCTGCCCCAATGCAAGGCTCTAGGTGCTGAAACAGAAAGTTCTGGCAAACTGGGACGAGTGCTCACCAGCCATAGGATGCTGCCCATCCCCTCCAGGAGGCTAGACAAGTCTGAGAAGGCTGTGCGTGGTCTTCAGGAGGCCAAGCACTTCCCTTAGGACTAAGCGCCTTCCCTCTACAGATAGGCACCGTCCTTGAAGAAGGCCGGGGGTCTCTCTAGCACCCTGGCTTCTGATCCTTGACCCTTCTCCCTCTCAAGCCTCATCTTCCATCCTGCCTCAACACCAGCTCCCACTGCCGCTATAACTAAAGCCCTGTGTGCATTCCACTCTCCACCGCCCCCCCCCATCCTGCTTGCCTACTCCCTCTTGTGTATTAATCAAAGATCCCTAACCTCCACCAGACCCCTAAGGGCACTGCACCCTCCACCCCATCCACATCCTCACTTTCTGCCTGGCTGCAGTCTCCCTATTTTTTTTTTTAATTTTT